TTTTGCTCCACTATACCATCTGCAGCGATGGTGTGATATCCATTTACTTGTTAGGGACACAGTTTACGAGGTAGCAATTCATTTCACTGTACTAAATGTCCATGAAACACTGTCTTTAAAGATGAGAAAGGTGAGAAGGAATCAGAAGTTCTACTCAAGTTAAACTAACAAAATATGGATTAGCACTGGTGTCACCATTAAGCGCTCTTCTAGCTGTTTGCCTACCGGTTAGTTTATAAAAGCACCTACTACGTCCAGTTATAGATATTTCATCTGCATATATAGGTGATACTTTCATCTTTTATGATAATAAAACTGATCTTGACACCATTCTTCTAGAATCCATTGAATATCGTTCCTCGACCTATTTCATAATGGATGTTCTTGATATTTTTTTTTAAGAGAATGTTTGACGGTTTCCTGAAAACGTCAATCTATAGGAAACTAACAATGAATGAAAAATATACTGATTTACAAAGTTAGGTAGCACTGATCTAAAGACAGGAACCTAATTCATTCGCCTTGCATGAGAATAATAAGAATGCGCCCAAATGACAATAGATGAAAAGCTGGTATATCTCTAGAAAGCGCTTCTTCAGGACGGTTGTCCATCAAAGTTCATCACAAAAACGGTTCAGCCCAACCGTGGCAAGAATAAGTTTTTACTGTTTCTATGAAGATCTTTCTCTGGAATATTGACTTTAAAAGAGTTCAAAGCAACAGATCTTCTGAAGAATTACATTTCTTTTCTAAAGCAATTGGAAAAATATTTTATGCTTCGGAAGCTCGAAAGATCTCCTTTAGTAGACGATTGACTCAAGGATGTGTGAACAACAATCTATTGCATTGAGTCACATTTGTGTATGTCTGTCAGTTTATTTGCACTTGTAGAACTATATATGGATGCCGTATAGAACGCAACCTTTCTTGATGTATCTTCGAACCCTATCCTACTTGGTTGCGGATAGGAGAATGCAAATCAAGGAACGATTGCATCATAAACCATTTAGTCAACTCTCGTGATGTCACTTTCCCAAGGTTTTCTCTTTAAATCCTATACAAATTCAAAACAAACGGCTTGAAAGGAGTGTACATGCATCACTAATGTATGATAGAGGGGCTAGTAGTTCAGCAGAGAGAGAAGAGGTACTTCTATCCTCCTACTTTTTGATAGTCATATTTTCCCTTTGCGCTTCTTCATTGCTTCAGTATTCATCCTGCTTTTATCAACTGACTAAGAAAGAAGAGAATGGAAAGTTTACTTACAGTAAAGAATCTCTAATTTAATGTCGGATAAAGATTCCTCATCTCCAGGCCTTCTCATCCTTACTGGATGTTTATTACTTTTCGCTTCAGACTGAATCACAGTCACCTCGCTTTTTTCCCCAGTTACTGGATCTATGGCCTGCATTATGATTGCCATTTCGCCGATTATTAAAGGTGATGGACATGAGCAGCTCCCAGAGGACTGAGAAACGTTCATGTGAGTGATTTGTGTTTTAGTTCGCCTTCTTTCAATGTTTGTTGTTTAATGATTTTAGGGGCACAGTTATAAATTCAAAAAATATTTATGCCGACACGAATGGAAATACGTAGTAATTGTACTTTTAAATCTTTCTTATAGATGCTGTTATTGAAGTTCGCTTACCAAGATTAATTGAAGCCTTTGGATTCCATGAAAGTTACTTTATTCGACTTCATTACTTGCATTGTATGATAACTGTTAATGATGGATCATGGGTAGCAGTGGAATCCAGGATGCGCATTTCGTCCTATTTGGAACTCGTCAGCTGGATGTACCTGCTTCCAAGTGAGTGATATTGTTCCCACTGGGATTCGGACTCTGGAGAGATCACATCACCAGCGCGTAATCCACTACACCACCGAGCTGGAGTTTGAAGCGATCGCTCCCGAGTCCGAATCCTGGTGGGAACAACATCACTCACTGAGAAGCAGGTACATCCAGCTGACAGTCCAAAATAGGGCGAAATGCGTATCCTGGATTCCACTGCTACCCACTATCCAACATTGACATAATAAGAACGCTTGCATGATAACCTTTTCACTCGTGAAATAAAAGATGATGAAGGAAATCTAATTATCAAAGAAGAGAAAGAAAGGGAGCGATGGGCTGACCACTTCAAAAAGCTCTTGAATCGATTACCACCTGCACTTCGTCTAGAAATACCACATGCAGCAGCTACAGAACTGCCAGTGACACAAGCCTTCCGACGAAAGTCGAAGTCCTGAGCGCCATAAAGCAACTGGAATGTGGTAAAGCACCAGGACCACATGGAATCCCATCAGAAGCACTGAGAACAGTTGCAGAGACTACACCAGTGGAAATGCTCACACCACTATTGCAGAAGGTCTGGGAGGAAGGAAAGATACCTGCTGCTTTTTTGCAGCAATTAGTTTGCCGTCTCATAATCAAACAATATCCATGATTAGGATTCTTTTCCCTGAATATGAATTGGTTCCAGTTCAGAATGCTCATGAATCTCACTGAAAGATTATTATTGAAATGAAAGAGGTTGACTTATTACAGTACATACATTTTTAATTGGATAGGAGACAAGTACCCATAAGAAATGAATTTTAGCATCTCGTATGGCAAATATATTTAAACATTGCTGATCACCCATAGTGCATACCTTATGATGTTGCATATACAGAAAGTTCATTATTCTGAAAGACAGTGGAAACGTTTCCTATGCATTCGAATGCTCAAAACTCATTCTAACTCTTACCAATATCAAAGTTTCATTGGTCATATGGATGAATGAACATCTGGAATATTCTAATAACCATACCTTCTCTTCACATTCAGATAACTATTTTCAGTAATGCATTTTCATAGGAACATTTGTATCCCTCTAAGTACAATGAAATGTACTATACTATAGGAATTGAAAAGCCTGTCGATTGAAGAATCTATATTAATATAGGTGTAAACCTTGGGCACTATGGCACAGTAACAATTCCATATCAGATTTGTTTATTTGATTTAGAACACATAGTCAATGATTTAGTATTATTTACAGGATGACGAGGTTTCGAGCATAAATTATTACTGCTCATAATTATATCAATGTAATCACACTACTTTCAACATTTGATTATTATAGTTACGTCACCTCATATATGTTGTTTTCACTGGTAGCGAAATTTTCCATATCTCTGATATAGGTGTTGTGTCATTTGTATTAGACATGTATCGACTGGGTATTGATTCGATGAACAAAGATTCAGTAATCAATCTCTCCCTGTCTCTCCACCTACTTAAATTGGACTTAAGTACAGTGGTTCTATCCCTTCCACCCTATTGTGTGGTTGTGTGTTGATGCATGCATTGCAATAGCTCAGTTTTTTCGAGATTATTGATCTCATTTTGGGTCTTTTATTCTGTATTTAGCTAAATTCCTATATTCGGCTATTCTAACTGAATCCGTCCAACTAGTTTGACCTATATACTTAACCTCACAGTCATTACATGGTATTTGATAGATTATATTATTTTGCTTATTTGGTTCTATCGGATCCTTAAGCCGACAGAGCTTATTTCTGAGTGAGTTTGAAGGTTTAAATGCCACTCTAATTCCAGCTCTGTTGAGGATTCTACGTAAAGTTTCTGAGGTACCCTCCTTATAGGTTAATGCAACGGAGGGTGTGAACCCTTTTTTTCTCCTGTTGTCGTTATTAATAGCACTTATGTGACTGTTATTTTTTCGTTTCTTGTGTGGTTGTACGAATTTCTTATCAAATTGTGGAGGACAATCATCAGTTATCAACGCTTCTCTTATGTGCCTCAATTCATTCTTTAAGTCCATACAATGAGTGGTGAGCTTGTTTAGCTCTATCATTGAGATATTTGACTAAACCTCCCCTTACTGACATTGGATGGGATGATTTGAAGTCCAGATACTTGTTAGGATGTGTCAGTTTTCTGTGAGCAGTAGTACCCAAACCACCGTCTGTCCTTCGTTTCATTCTGCAATCCAACAGAGGTGATTCTCCTTCTTCATTTTCCACCTCATGAATGAATTGGATTGCATCTACTACTCAGTTTATAATTGTAAGGAAATTGTCAATATGTTCCAATTTGAACACAGTAAATGTGTCATTCACATATCGCAACCATATTTTTGGTATGGGAATAAACGTTTGTAAAGTCATGTTTTCGAACTATCCATAAATATATCTGCTACGATTGGTGATATTGGCTATCCCGTTGCTTCTCCTTCTGTTTGTGTGTATATTTTGTTCTGAAACTTGAAGACTGTGGAGGTGAAGCGTAACTGCATGCCTAATATGATCACATTAACCGATAGCCAAACATAGGAATTTAGCTAAATATAGAATGACAGACCCAAAATGAGATCAATAATCTGGAAAAAACTCAGCTATTGCTATGCATGCATCAACACACAACCACACAATAGGATGGGTGGGATAGAAACACTGTATTTAAGTCCAATATAGGTAGGTGGAGAGACAGGAAGAGATTGATTACTGAATCTTTGTTCATCGATCAATACCCAGTCGACACATGTGTAATACAAATGACACAACACCCATACTAGAGATATGGAAAATTTTACTATCAATATAAACGGAGGATATGACATGACAGGAATATAAAAGTCAGATGGAATTACACTGATATGATTATGAGAAGTGATAATTTATGCTCGAAACCTTGTCATCATGTAAATAATACTAGATCACTGACTACGTGCTATAAGTCAAATAAACAAATCTAATATGAAGAATCTACAGTAAAATCACACTTGTTCATTGAGATGAATTTCAACAGAAAGAAAACGTTTTTATTCTATAGTCAATTATATTTAGATAATTATGAAAAATTAATGATATTCATTTACACTAAGAAGGTTTAAAAGTTAAATATCATTTCACTGAATGGGTTCAGTTGCACATAGATCATTTCAATTAAAAATGACTAAATAGGATAGCCTTGTATCTAAGATTTATTATGCTTATTCAAACATTTTTCTATTGAAGAGAAAACAGAGGATTTCAGCATAAAAATTACTGTAAAATGATATGAATGAATGATTAACTGCATAAATTAATTTTATATATTTTTATTATCCAATTTTTTTTCGATCGCTGGACAAATATGCAGAAGGAGGTGGAGATGGATTGGGCATACATTGAGAAGGCTGACTGGGCACATCACCTGTCAGGCCAGGTCCTCGAGTGAAATCCCAACGGGAAACGACAAGTTGGGCATCCTAGCTGAGGTTGACATGGAGGAGATCATGTGCACTGGAGATGTGCTACTGAATCCCTATGTTCCACTGGGAACCCAAGGGACAAACAATAATAGAATTTTCTCTGTCATGCACATCATAGCTATGCTTAGTATTAGTGACAACTGGAAATAAATCTATATATTGCTGAGATTAGTTCGTCTGTTATTAGATTCAATGATATAATTGTCCACCATAATCACATAAGTTATTGTTGACTGGATCCTAATTTCACAGAAATTGAACTTATTCAGTGTTTAAGGGGATAGACATATAAATACACTAAATGTCCATCAGGTTGGTTTCAATGATAGCTTGACAATGTAAACCTTATTTAGTATGTTGAAGGCAATCAATGGAAAAGGTAAGATTTTCGTTTCATTCTCTTTTGTTAATCGATATCTCGATGTAACCTCAAAATCGCAAACCAGTGACATCTAGTTCTGCAGTAATGAGTAATAATCTTGAGCATTTAAAGTAGTAAATAGCCTATAGTTGAATTACTTTATATGAAGTGAATGGGCTTTGACTTGTTTATGAAGTCCTAAATGTACAGCTCATATTATCTTTCAGTCTTTTAAAGTCTCTTTCTATTCGCATTATTAATGTGAATAGAAATGAAGAGATAAACATTTTTCTGAACGTTTTCTGATACATCTATTAACTTTGACATATCAGAAGATGAATGAGAATACTTCAATATGGAACAGTCTGAAATGTTACCATGACTTGTGATTCTAAGAAACCTGATATTTTTCTGGAGAATTTTCCCGGTTGTTGAGTAAATACGCATATATCCTGTGATATGAGGAACTAGAAAAAGAATTTTTACTTGGAATGAATGTATGTGAACAGTTTAAAACAATCAGCAAGCGTTTTTAAGTCCTAAGGAAATCATCGAAGAGGTCCACCGGTTTAAAAGCTACGATATAGACTAATTGGAAACGCCGAAGAAGGTGTGGCTAACAGTTTCAGATGTTCGACTAATCATAATTTTTATGTAATCACCTTGCAGCAAGCGCATCCAGATTTTTCGAATACAATAAGATATAATTCTAAGGTTGCATGATTGCAGTCACTTTCTTCTATGTAAAGTAGATGAATAAAGATGAAGATATTAGGACTCGTCAGTCTGTTTTAACACACTGTCAATCGTCAGTATCATTTTACCCATGAGCATGTTCAGTGCAAGAAAAGCAGTGGAAGACCTTCACCTATCGTTAAACTTTCAAAAGGCTAACACTTAAGTTCTGCAAATATGAAGATTTTTTTAATTCCAACGACAGGGTATGTTTATGTACAGTAAATAAAGAAACCGTTGGATATCCTTAAATTGTAGGCAACTTCTAAATAGATAGATCTATCAACACATTCGTTGATAACGTGTTACATGATATAATTTCAGGCTTCATTCTCTGTGTAAAGATGAACTGGTCAAAGAAATTTATTTTGCAAACTTATTCAAATCACTTTGGGAAACCGGTTAGTTTATAAGTTACCCTCAAGCAGTTGTTTAAAATGCTTATCAGAAGATCCTAAGAACCGAAACTAAATGCTCAATGATGGTTGTTCGAGTTTCAAGATTGAGTAGGGTGTACTCTGAATGACAGTGATTACTTAAAACGATTACGTTGTTTCGTTAGACTAACAGTTTGAAACTGAAAAACCTGAGATATTTGTATACAATACTGCATCCAGTAGCTACCAATTCCACTTAACTTCTAAGAAGACCATAGCAAGCACATACTGTAATTAATGTCTACATCATCTCTTGCTTCATGATTTAGATATTCAATGTCGATACTTTCTTACAGTTGAGAAGTTCTCTTTACTTCAATCTTCATTGATTTTAAGGATACATTTTATTTACAAGTAAGTTAATATTTGTGTTACATTTTAAAGGTTAACATATTACTGTGCTTACAATGCTTCTTTGAGAAAACTGATTTTGAGTATAAAGAAAAGAAAACATTGGTAATGGACAAAACTTTCCTTCTCTATACGATAAACATATTTGAGTAAAAACATGATACAGGTACTTACTACCTGATGTAATCAATTTTAAGTGGTTCGCTGTTTTATTTAAGGTACGTATAAGAACCATGACAAATCCCAAATCTCGGTATTTCTAGTTGGATGTTGGCTTATTTGATTAACCGCTTGTGTTGTAATCCACTTGATCATAAAATATATCAAGTCATCAATTTACGAATGGTCTGCAAGTTGTACAGTGGATGCTGACATTTCTTATAGATAGGTAGATTTTCATCTGACTGATTTTATAATTATTTATAATTTATTCGTCCCTTCGGTTCCCAATAGAACATAAGGTTTCTGTAGAACGTCTTATTCCTTCCTGTTATCTGCGATCTTTTGAACCCATCATTTCTTCCTCACATGATCTCCTCAATGCCAACCACAACTCGAGGGTCACACTAGTCGTTTCCCGTGTGGATTCCACTCCAGGACATGGCCTGACACGTGATGTCATCAGTCGGCCTCCTCAGTTTATGCTTAGCCCAATCCATCTCCACTCCCTTCCACTGCACATTTGTTGAGTGATGGGTTCTTCGTTGGCTCATTACCAGCCACAGTTCCCTGCTGCTCATTACTATTATTCTGGCCATCTGATCTTCAGTTATGAGCCAGCCAGCGTAGGTGGCAGTTGTTGATGAATATCTGTAGTTTGTTGCAAATCCCTTTCGTAACGCACCAAGTCTCTCAACCATACAGGAGCACTGACTTGACTGACGTTCGTGTTGAAAATCCGGATCTTGTTCCACATGCTGAGTGCAGATGATCTCCATACCGGTTTCAGGCTAATCAACGCCTGTCTTGCTATCTTTCCGATCGTGGCTGCTTTCACATCCTCATCTGTGCCATCTGTAGTTGAAACGATGCTGGCTGGTCAGGTAGGTGAAAGAGGTTACTTCCTTTAAGTTTCTCCCATTGATGGTGATTGGAGTTTGTGTTGTTGTTGTTGTGTGGTGTTGTGTTGGTGTTGGTTGGGTATCTTCATTACCTCTGTCTTCTCTACGTTCACCTGAATGATATCCCGTCCTCACTGCCTCATCTCTTTTGTCAACTTGTTAGTTTTTGCCTGTAGATCTTCGAGTTTGTGCGGCATTGGACATAAATCATCATTGACGTCTTTTCATCGGTCTAGCATTGTATCCCCCTCTTCTCGCTTCTCACTGTTTGTTGCATGATCCAGTCCACCATCTGCCGAACTGTGGTGCCAGTTAATAGAGTTTTCTTTAGAAATCACCTAGCCCAGATCACAGGGTGTGATCTTTTGGGCAAAAAGTGTTATGAACTATCGACATATATATTACCACTGAACATTTTGTCTGTCAAAATCTACAGATTATACTAAGTGGTTTCTAACTACTCAATTTATTTAGTAGTAGTATGTGAAACACGTCGCTTTCGAAAACTGATGAAGATAAACATTTTTTTGGTTGCACATTAAAGACATGAAAATGTAGATTTTTTAAAGCGTTTTCTTTCAAAGGATTGTATGTGCCCAGCTGAGTATGCAGCATACTTCTTAGAATAAAGAGTATTAGGTACTCTGTAACATGAATGATGGTTATGCTTAAATCAAAAGTTTCAAGCTGGAAAGTCAGGAAAACGGGGAATTTCTTAGTAATTCAGTTTTTTCAAACATTTTGTGGAAATACTACTGATGTTTATAAAAAAATTGACTGTTATGTACATGATGAGGCAGCTTAGAAGATGTGATAGGTAAACTTATGGATAATATAGTCTCAAAGATAAAGAAACAAACAGAAAATTGCACTACGGATGGAGCTCTAATGTGTTTTGAAAACACCTTACTCTGTAAACTATTGTTATTCTCAGCATACCTAGTAGGATTCATAAATGCATAAGAGTGCGCTGTGTTGATCAGTTTTGTCTCAAGGTTTATCTCAAAGTTAAGCAGGAAAATCCCCTTATGAAGTTAAAAGGATTCTGGTCTCTGATATAACAGAGTATCTCAGTGCCTGTTGGAACTAATTAAATCTTATATCCCACTATTTTCAGTAATGTGTACCAATTTGAGACCAATTGTGAATCATCATATCTAAATAATAAAATATAAATGTTAACAAATACCGCAGGTCTAACATTTTTCGACGTAGGTAGATGTGAAATGAAATCATTGATGTTAGTTCAATGAGGGTAATCTTAGGAAGCCACGGACCTGAGTTATTTTATTCCTAGTTCAAACTGGTCAGCAAGGTGTGACTGAAACCTGGAGGGAATTGAGATTAGACATATGTTGCATTCAGTAGCGTTAACATTGAGCTATTTAGGCTACAAATAACCTCCTGTAGGATTGGCTGAGGTAGACTAAAGGTATATTTATGAAATAATGCTTGAAAACGTAAGTTAATAAAGGTATGACTTACCATGTTTTACTCAAAATGAATCTACATTGTTTATACAGAAAATGTGAGTGTTAACCTTTAATTTACATTCTACCAGACGACAGTGACGAGCACTTTCCTAATTTGGTAAAAAAAAAATTATCTTTCATATTGTTTGTTGAGGAAACTGTGTATATTCAAAGTGTACCATTTGAATAGAAGTAAAATCCTTTAGGACACTAATTTGAGTTTAGTGAAGTGGTATAAATGATCGTTTTCCGGGTCATTACGTAAGCATCATTAGGTTTTTGATGTGCCTTTTAATGAACACGTACATTTTATAAAGAGTAATAATAACGATTGAAGAGAACAGTTAATCCTTTCAGTGACATTAAGTTCTGATTTTCAATTACATTAGATTGAATTCTTACTTTATCCATTCCAAAGCCAATCTACAATACAGAATGGTCAGTAAATGATTTGCGAATGGACAATTTTCAAAGGATTTTGGAAAAATTATTTATTATTATTTGTCCCTTCGGTTCCTAGTGGAACATAAGGCTTCAGTAGCACGTCTCCATTCCACTCTGTTCTCTGCAGTCTTTTGAACAGGGTTTCATTGCTGCCCACAAGCTTTCATTTCTTCATCCCATGATCTCCTCCATATCCAGGATCATGACAGCAAGATTCAACTCAAAAGGGAGGAAAGTCATAATCATATAATACACTATGCGCCTGGAAATAGTGCAGATCGAGAGAAGAAGGAGGAATTCTACAGACAACTGCAATCAATACTAGACAAAACTCCAGTTGGTGACATCAAAATTCTAATGGGTGGGATGATTTGAATGCCAAACTGGGAGTGGACAATACAGGAAGAGAACGCACCATGTATCGAGAAGCACTTGGTGAAATGAATGAGAATGGAGAACTGTTTGCAATGGAAAAACCATTGAATTAGAATAAATGTTCATCTAAGTCCCATTTAGTGAATATGAAGAAGCTAAGGACTACTTGACTCCGATTTAGTGGCTAATAGACAGCATGATCATTGTGAAAGTTACCTATTGTTTGAAAGTTCTATTTTAAGCCAAAAACACATTGATAGTGCTTTCCTTATTCGGCTAATAATGATGTGTTATGAAATCTTTCTTGTAATTTCAGGCTGGCTTCAGGAAAAACAAATCATGTGCGGACCGAAATGCAACACTACGCATCATCATACAACAGAGTATAGAATGGTAATAAACCCTCTACCTCAACTTCATCGACTTTGAAAAAGCCTTGCTTCGGCAGCGTCGACCAAGAAGTAATTTGGCAGGTGGCTGCTTCAACACCACGGTCTTAGTACCACAAACCTTTATGAACGTCATCCAACAGCTATAGGATATTTGATGTTACGTGCCAAGTGATACACAATGGAAAGCCCAGTAACGCATTTGAAGAGAAGACAGGAGTGAAACAAGGCTGTCTACTATCACCCATAATATTCCTGATTGTGGTCGACTGGATCATGCAACAAACAGTGGGAAGCGAGAAGATGGGGATACAATAGCTAGACCGATGAAAAGACGTCAAAAAAAGATTTGTATTTCGTCGATGAACCGTGTCTAATGTCACACAAACTCGAAGATCTAAAGGCAAAAACTAACAAGTTGACAAAAGAGATGAGGCAGCGAAGATAGGACGTCTTTCAAGTGAACGTAGAGAAGACACAGGTGATGAAGATACCAAACCAACACCAACACCAACACCACCACCAACAACAACAACACAAACTCCAATCACCATCAATGGGAGAAACTTAAAGGAGGTTGCCTCCTCCACCTACCTGACCAGCCAGCATCGTTTCAACTACAGGTGGCACAGATGAGGATGTGAAAGCAGCCACGATCGGAAAGATAGCAAGACAGGCATTGATTAGCCTGAAACCGGTATCGAGATCTTCTCCACTCAGAATAAAGCGTGAAGAACATCCGGATTTTCAACACGAACGTCAGTCAAGTCAGTGCTCCTGTATGGTTGAGAGACTTGGTGCGTTACGAAAGGGATTTGCAACAAACTACAGATATTCATGAACAACTGCCACCTACGCTGGCTGGCTCATAACTGAAGATCAGATGGTCAGAATAATAGTAATGAGCAGCAGGGAACTGTGGCTGGTAATGAGCCAACGAAGAACCCATCACTCAACAAATGTGCAGTGGAAGGGAGTGGAGATGGATTGGGCTAAGCATAAACTGAGGAGGCCGACTGATGACATCACGTGTCAGGCATGTCCTGGAGTGGAATTCCAAGTAGAGACGACTAGTTTGGCCCTCGAGTTGTGGTTGGCATTGAGGAGATCATGTGAGGAAGAAATGAGGGGTTGTGGGTAGCCGTTGTGCTAGGTCCAAATGACTGCAGAGAACAGAGTGAAATGGATGTGTACTCCGGAACCTTATGTTCTACTAGGAACCCAAGGGAAAAATAATAATAATGTCAATAACTGAAGATGAAAATGTGTTAGCATTTATGAGTATTTTGTGTTGATTCATCTGTACAATGGGGTTGTAGTCGACTTACCCTTGAAGTTGTTTTGTGTTCCACGTTATCCGATGGATGGTATTCTCTTTAAGCAGAAGAGTGGTCTTCCCTGCACTGAATAAACTTTTCTACCACATTTTCACAAGTGTATAACACCTTCTGGTTCATTCTATTAAACTGAACTTTTTCAGTGTACACTTAATGCCTACGCAGAATACTGAAGACCAGATGGCCAGAATAATACGAATAAGCAACAAGGAGCTGTGGTCTCTCAATGAACCGATGAAGCAAAAAGATATCGCTCAACAAAAATGTAGAAGAATATGTAGATGGACTGGATTTGACATACACTGAGAAGACTTTTTGGGGACGTCACATGTCAAACCAGGTCCTCGAGTGCAACCAAATGGGAAACGAGAGGGGCGTCCTAGGGTGACATGGAGGAGATCTTGTGAGGAAGATATGAAAGGTTGTGGGCAATCATGGAACTAGGTTAGGAAGGCTGCAGAGAAGAGGTTGAAATGGAAATGTGCTACTGAAGCCGTCTGTTCCACTTGAAACCCAAGGGACAAATAATAGTCTTGAAAAAAACCTTCGCAACTGTCTGATACTTTGAACCTTTTCATTACTAAATTCAATAGGAATCTATGCGCTTCAAGTATATAGTAGTGGTTAATGCGTCGTATTTAATGTTTTAAGTATGCACCGAAAAGAATAAACGGTTATTGCTTGACATTGCAATAAGTAGGCCAAAAAAAGATTAATTAACAAGGCGAAACTAGACTATCATTTAGTATAACACCAATAAAATATCATACAACAATATAAGATTACGCATTTCAGTCAAAAAATGATTCGCCTTTTCCGGCAAAATAGAAACTTCTTTATTTACTATAGCTGTATTATGGTTCTGATTCTGAAACTGATTAAACATTAAGCTTCTATGAGTCATAAGGAAAGAAACTCTTCATAAACCTGGGAGCACTGGACATCTTTTTCGTCCATTATGCAACTCTACGGCAGGATGCATTTATAATCTTATCTGAGACTGAACCCAGCACTCTTAGGTTATGTGAGCCACTGAATTGAAATTCACTGATCCAGACTTACCATCTTCTGTCAATTCAAGATATAGCGTAGCTTTCAACTAATGCTAACGTTGAGTATCTTTCCTCACTTCATGGATTCGATTCCTGATCGATTCATAGTTGCACACTGCCTAGGAATCCCATTAACGAAGAAAACAGCTTCTCAGTGCTCCAATTTCTTAAGCGGCTCTCCAGGTGGTTAACCTAATAGGACTAACGCTATGGCCTTTCAATCAATCGGTCCTGAGTTCAAGTCTTAGTGAGAACATTGTTAATTCACCTTTGTTGCAAGTGTATAAACATTGATACTGATATTATTCTTCCTTTCCAATTGTTTGTGTTATTCCACTCGATATTTTTGTTTTCATTTAATACATGAAATTTTTTCTAAATTTTCGTACTTTCGTCATTTTTTGGGATGACATTTGACTAATCTGTTATGTTTATTTAGTCTGGTTTTCAACGATCTTGATGTTTTACCGACATAGCCTATTGGCTATGTGTTTTATACATCACTTTATTCTTACTCAGTTTCCCAATCGGACCTTTTAGTTCGTTCAAATATCAGCCTTTCTAAGGCTTCCTCTTGTTGTCTCTGATATGCCTTCTCTGTATGGCAATGCCATTATCTTTTTGCAATCATCTTTCTTACTAACTTCTATTGCCGACTTCTGTTTCTTCCTTTTGATGTACACGTTGTCAATTGCTCTGTGTGATGATGCATTTGCAACATACTGAATAAGACATTCGTATCTTTTCATTGGTCAACGGGGAATGTTGTCAATCTACCTATTCTCTTTGCCATTTCCTGTATTAATCTTTCTTTTACTGTGATTAGGTGGTTTTGAGTACTTTTGTTTAGTGTAAGAAGTTTGTGGGAATTTCTTATTGATTTCAAGCTGATATTCTTCACGGATTGACATGAGTTGGGGAACCACTGAAAGCTTTGGGGCACAGGTCAGTTGGTTAAGCGTCATGTCGGACTCCTCAGTAGGGCTCTAGAGATTTTTGTTTGTTTTAGCTTTCATTTATCAAAAAACACCATCTCGGGCTTAATAACCATTATTATTATTATTATAAATGTTATCGTTGAAAATGAACTCACTGCCAGTTCCTAAAATATTTATATCATCACTGTGAAGTTAAACCTTTTATCCAAAAGAAAAAGTACTTACTCCATTTCAATTGATTTATTAGATGTATCACAGAAAAACAGTATCATTTACTGAATTACGTTTGGACATCATGTATTGTTTATGCTCACATCAAGGTAACTAAACGACGTTTATACATGTATTATACAGTTCTAATTCTTTTGCCTTCTTTACGATTTAGATAGTAGAATTCATTACATGTCTGGAACAGGAGCTATATCATTCTTGGTGTTGATTGGATAAACAATGATTTGCTTATCACTCTTTATCCCCATTTAACTAAGTTTGTTCTGAATACTGTAATTTTTACCTACACCAATTATGGTTGTATGTAACTGCATGTACAAATATAGATGAGCTTTCTTACTTCGTTAGAGTTAATCTGTCCTGATTTATCTTGGGGTTTATACTCGTACAGCCTCGTCTGCACCGGAAAAAAATACATTCACTTCCTTCATTTATTATTGTAATTTCGAAATAGCTGATCGTCTCAAATTCTGGTGAATAAATGGCTATATTCATGAGCAGGAGCACTTTAAAAAGACGATAGCAAAGTCTTTACAACACTAGAATAGACAAAGGGGCTGGGTAAAGTAAGCTCGACAGATGCCTTGATGAATCAACTATCATGATGATTAAACTGATTCTTTAGTGTAAAAGTACTATTTCACTCTCATCATGAAAAACATTATGAATTTAGCTAAAGAGTATATGAGGTAGTTCAAAAGGTAAGTAGAATAATAATGTATAACAGTAGTCCGTCATATCGACCATATCAAATAAGACGTTTTATAATATTTTAATTAGTTAAGTTGTCATTTGTGTGTCCATCACCATCATTTACGATTATCTAATCAAATAGCTCAACTAAAAACTTGTAAAAGTATTGGGCATCTATACGGCCAGATATCAAACAACTATTAGGAAACTTTAAAAACATCTATGATGCATGGCGTATGTTGTTGAATGTCGAATTACATGGATATAGTACTAACTAAAAGCAATTCATACTGGATTGTAGTATTTAAAAAAAGGAAACAGTGACCACACCTCAAGAAACTGAAATCGCCAAATAAAATAAAACGCCTAGTAATATGCTGACAAAAAATATTATGAGGTCTCATCTGTGAATACGTGTTACAGGAAAGGTATAGAAAAAGCTTTTGAACAGAAATAAATGCACATATACCAAATCCAAGCATGCATCATCTTCCAACCAAGAACCTATCACCCAACAAATATGCCGGAGACGAAAGTGGAGGTAGATTGGATTGGGCAAACACTGAGAAGACCAACTGGGGACATCACATGCCAGTTCCTCGAGTGGAATCCAAATGGGAAACGACAAGTTGGACGCTCGTGGCGAGGGTGACATGGAGGAGATGATGTGAGGAAGAAATGACGGGTTGTGGGGAGTGGTGGAGCCAGATTGAAAAGACTGCAGAGAAGAGATTGAAATGGGGGTGTGCTACTGAATCCCTATGTTCCACTAGGCACCCAAGGGAAAAGTAATGCATAACTTGTGAGAATTCATTTTTTCCCCACTGTAGTATCGCTAACCATTCAGATAGTCTTGAACAAAATACTGAGATGGATTGTAGCAGAGCATTTAAGATCGCTAGAAGTGATTTACTGGGATTGACATAATATTATTATTTTGCCCTTGGGTTGCTAGTGGGCTTCAGTAGCACGCCTCCATTTCACTGTGTTTTCTGCAGTCTTTTGGACCTAGCACCCGCAAGTTTTGATTTGTTCCTCACATGATCTCCTTCATGTTATCCTCGAATGCCCAACTCGTCGTCTCCCCTGTGGATTCCACTCAAGAGCTTGGCGTGTGATGTCCCCAGTCGGTTAACTAGTTAACTAGTTCACTGGCTACTAGCCGGTCTTAAGCTCGGGGAAAGGGGGAAGGTTGGGCGAAGGGCTAGCAACCCTACCCCGTAAAACCAATCCAACTGCTACGGAAACTTCGAAGCACAAAAAAAATAAAAAAATAAAAACAAACTTATTCCTCACTGGAATCGAAGAGGTGAAATGACGCCGGTTGGTGAAAGCTTTCAGGAAGCCGATTGGCCAATGTGTCTCCTCTTCTCTCGATGAAAGCGAAAGTAAGAATGGGGACATGTAATGTCCGCACCATGTATGAACCTACCAAGGCTGCCCAGATTGTGAAATAGATGAAAAGATATGGGATTGACGTATTAAAGGAACACTATTTACTGTCAACGTGGAAATTACTGATGTCATCAGATAGGCAAATGTGTAGGTGGCGCTTGCAAGAATCAGCACCTTCATATAAAACAGCAATTGAACATAGAACACATTTTCAGAAGTATACGTACACTATCCCTGTAAATGCATACACATGAATAGCCCCAAATGTCCCTAATTTTCATTTTTAATATGGAGATACACTGAGTAAACAGTATATTTGTAATCAGATATTATAATATACTGATAAAACTTTAATGATTTCTTACGATGTGTTAGTTTTCAGTTTTCCCTTGATTTCTGAAAATAGGTAATAAATTGACCTACATTTAAATTATATTAGCCACTTAATGTCCATACATAAGCTTTTTATGTATACAGATGGATAATTGAAGTGATTGGTTGGTAGTCAAGCTATATCGTGAATTGACAGAAGTTGGAAACTGTAAACCATTGAGAACCGACGCAGTGGCTGAGTGGTCAACACGTTCACTGTGAATCCCGAAGGTCCTGAGTTTGATCCCTAGCTGGGTCATGGGTGAGTGTTGCTAGGGGTCACGTACTAGGACGGAACAGCTGTCCAGTGCTCCCAGACTTTTAATGGCTCCCCAACTGATGTCAGTCCGTGACGAATACTACCTCTAAATTAAGAAATCTGATCCATCTGGAAAATGCGGATATTTTCAATTTATTTCACTTAACTTGTCTCATTCATACTACCTAATCCTTTGATTGTTTATTAACTCCACCACTTTCTCACCCCTTTTTAATATACACCCATTTTACTAACGATTTAAACATCTTAAGTAATCTTTTGGTTATCATTAGACCTTTACGTCATCAACTAACAACAATATTATTATAACCAGCATTATTATTTCTTCAACTCGCCATTATTTAAGTTAAATCTTCCTCATGGATTACTGTCTTTAATTTTCATACATATACGAATGTATATCTTGAGAATAAATTCGTTGAGATGAGTCCTCTTCTTTGGATATCTTGTTTTTGATCTCATAATTGGAATTATCAATAGATTTTACAACATATCAAAATAAAAGTAAACGCTTATTTCATTATTATCATCACCTTCCTTTTACTTTAATTCAGCAAATTCTTATGAATCAGCTGATAAGTTGAAGAAAGTATGAAAAAATAACTTTTCTATAGACTAGTTCACTGAGTAGATTATGTAATATAAATACTTTAAACCAACAGCACGATAAATCCTTTTCCACTTTGATTAGCGGTTTATATTTGATATTGTTCATAGTCTCATCATTGCATTTAGTATACACACCAGATTCATGATATGACGTAAATTTTCCCTATGAAATTTCTTATTCTAGCAATCTCCCTGAATTCCAAATATTACTGAATGGTTATACATTCACTAAACTTATTCATTATTAAAGGTGGTCATGCATAAATCTCTTAACTGCTACTATCTTTCAACTGAATTCCACACAGCAAACTAAAACAATTGCAAAACTGCAAAACTATTTCATTTTGTACCACATCTTGCACGATTTATTTATTTATTATTTGTCCTTGGGTTCCTAGTGGAACATAGGACTTCAATGATATGTCGCCACTTCACTGTGTTCCTCGCAGTCTTTTTAACCTGGCTCCACAACAGCCCACAAACTTTCATTTCTTCCGCATATGATCTCCTCTATGTCACCCTCAGAAGCTCGACTTATCGTTTACCATTTCGGTTTGACTGGGGAGCCTGGTCTGGCGCATAGTGTCTCCAGACGGTCTTCTCAGTTTACGTCCATTCCAGTCGAATCCATCTCCACTTTCTTCTGCATATTTGTTGGTTAATTTGTTCTTGATTGGTTCGTTGACAGACCACAGTTCCTTATCGCTTATTCATGTTATTATTGGCCATATGATCTGATATGATCTCCAGTGTCAGTATCAAGTGAGCCTAGGCGGCGACAACTGTTGGTGATGTATGTCTGCAGTTTGTTGGAAATACTTTTCGTGATGGGCCAAGTCATCACATCAGCCATCACATAGAAGCACTGACTTACTTGACTAACATTAGTGTTGAGAATCCGAATGTTGTTCACACTTTATGCCGAGTGCAGTGCAGTGCAGTGCAGTGGAGTGCAGTAGATCTCCACACTGATTATTTCAGACTAGTGCAGGAAGGCCTGTTTTGCTGTCTTTTCGATCCTGGCTATGACATCCTCATCTGTGTCTGCGCGGCCTGTAGTTGAAAGGATGCTGCATTGCCAAGGTAGGTGGAAGAGATAACTTCCATTATATTCCTCCCGTTGATGGTGATTGGTGCTTGTTGTTGATGCAGTTGTTGGTTGGGTATCTTCCTCACCTCTCTCTTCTCTACGTTCACCTTAAGTCTCATTTTCGCTGCCTCGCCTCTTCTGATAACTTGTTGGTTTTTGCCTGTCGATCTTCTAGTTTGTGTGACATTAAACGTAAATCATAATCGTCGAAATCCAAACCTTCTTCCAGAATTCTTTCATCGGTCAAACTGGTTATCCCCCTCTTGCCGCTCCTCATAGTTTCTTGGATGATCCAACCCACTACAGTCAGAAAGATTAACTGTGATAATAGGCAACCTTGTCTTACTCTTGACTTTACTACAAAGGCACACTGAGCTTTCCATTGTGAATCACTGGGCGTGTAGCGTCATCATCACCATGTAGCTGTTGAATGAGACGGATAAAGGTTTGTGGCACCAAAACCGTAGTTCTGAGGCAGCTGCCTGTCAACGTTATCGAAGGCCTTTTCAAAGCCAATGAAGTTGAGTTAGAGAATTGACTGCCATTCTGTGCTCTGTTCGGTATGATGCACAGCGTAGCCTTTAAATTTGATCCGCACATGATTTATTTTACCTGAAGCCAGCAGTTTGTTTCAGTCGTAATTTTGAATGCAGAGCATTTTTTAGTCTCTCCAGGATGACATGGCTTAATATTCTGCTTGAAGTGGACAGGATTATGATTCCGAGCGAGTTCTTGCACGATTATTTACTAGAAACTTTATTCTTAGAATCATTCAACAGGTAATAGAGTGTGAAATATCCACTAAATAAGTTGTCATGAAATTATACACTACCTTGGCTCACAGGATCATTTTCATTCTTACTGACTTTTGTTGTGTAACGTTTTGTTACAATTTGGAGTAAAACATGTAATGTATTACTTTTCTAAAATTGCCATTTTTAAAGATTTTAATTTTCTTTCGTTTTACAGAAAATTCATTCTTCACAGTTGTAAATAGTCTATGTAGTGTTGGTTATTTATGCGAGATGCTTACAGAATGAATTCCTGAAACAATGAAGCCATCCAAAACGAATCGACGGCATATGGTAATTGTAGCAAGCTTCATATAGGTCACTCAGTAAAAGTGGTGTTTTATCTATTATAGAATTTCAAAATCTGCACATAATTCTCGGCAACTAAGTTGATACTTGCAATTCTCTCTTGTCACACTGGGTTGAACTCATTAGACTCTACTGACATATGGCCTCTTGTATACCAATCATATCTACCACCATGGAAATTATAACAATGAATATTAAGGCAGCACATAGTCATCCTTATAGGAGCCCGTATGACAACAGAGGCCGATCAATCCGAATCTGTATAACAACGTATCAAAAAATTATAATAACTGACACCTTCAACGATGTTAGTTGGATGAGGGAATCGGTAGAAGTCTATGGAACTAGGTTTCACGCTTGTTAGCAAGCGTCAGTAAGGTGTATCTACAACCCTAACTGGACTTTTATCCCACCTGAGACTCGACCCGTGTCACCTAGTGTCATGGTGAGCGACGTTACCATTGAGTTATTCCGGCCGTGACTGATCTCTTGTTGAATGGGTTATATAAATTGATTGGTCACTGGAGAGTAACCAACTTCTTGTTGTCAAGTCCTATGTACTGACCGAATTCTATTCATTCAACCAACAACAATGCATCGCGATGCTGAGCTGTATAGTCTGATGGCCAGAATGGAAAATGGTCGATAGAATTCTGTCAGCACATAGGACCAGACAACATGAAGTTGACTACCCTCCAGTGACTAATCAATGTAAATAACTAACACCCTTTGAACAAGAGGTTACTGTCGTGCTTAAGAAGCCTAGTGGTTTTTGAAGCGGTAGGTACTGGATTCGAGTGTTAGTATGAACCACTGAGGTACAGGTATATCCCACTATTGAGTCCCAAATAGGTCGATATACCTGTTATGGATTCCACTGCCAACTATCGTCAAGGAAGACGTAACTGACTGAAGAGTTGCTAAGTCAACAAATTACCTGATTGTTGACTTCTAAACCATATTTTCGAATAAGAATGAAAAATTTGATAAAACTAATTTTTATTCCCAGTGTTCATCCATTTAATATTATTCCCTGTCGGTGGTGGAGTATGTCCAGTAAGAGAAATTTAGAAATAGCACAAACCGTAACACTTCACTTCATTATACTAGTTACCCAGAGTCTATTGGAGTATTGGATATGCTTCTAAATAATCATGATTATTTCGTTGTTGTGTAATTTTATTTATTTTTATACAAATTTATAAGCAATTTAATTTCTTTAGGAGTTTAAAACTTACTTTCCCAATCTACAATAAAAAAATGTTAAATTTTAAAACTGTTCGTTTAAAACTTATTAAGATATTACCTTGAAAAAACGGAATTATTTCTGGAATATACATTAAAATGAAGCCTTTTTTTTAACAAAGATTTTTGAATCCATAAGTGGAGTAAACTTCCTTAGATAAAGAAATTCGCTTTCTCTGTTTTATCTACATAAAAATGAAGCAAGATATCAACAGATGACTTTAGTAAGTGCTTCATTGTTTATATAAAAGTTGAAGATTTCATAAAATGTTTGATCAAACTGATAATGTCAAAGTTTACTTCGTTATACAATTTCGGTGGGTAGTCGATATAGTGACTTACAATGTGCTAAAACCTTATCGATTTCATTTTTATTTTTTATATAGCCTGTCTAAAGTACATAAGGTTAGTGTCTTGATGAGACATATACTATCGCTGGTCGATTCACCATTTCACAAGTCTAGTTGATGGTTGAGGAAACACTTAGAACCTATTTCCACCAAACCAGATGTTGATAATTTGAAAGTTACCTTCAAAATTACGGAGATGTTAAAGGATCTTAGTATCTTTCAAATATTCACGGTTTATTTGAATGTGGTATCCTTAGTTACAATGACACTTCCGTAAGAAACAGTAGATTACATATGTCAGTATCCAAACTTCATTAGACTTCCAAAAAAATGGATTCAGAAAACTTCTACTGATATGTCGGAAAATGTAGATTTCCATAACAGTGAAGTCTTATAACTATGTTTAATAAATGATGGGCAGTGGCTAGCAGTGGAATCCAGGATGCGCACTTCGTTCTATTTGCGACTCGTCAGCTGGATGGACCTGCTTCCCAGTGAGTGATGTTATTCCCGCCGGGAGGTGGACTCGGGAGCGACCGCTTCAAACGCCAGCGCGTTATCCATTATGCCACCGGGCCACGATAGCCGAATGCGCATCCTGGATTCCACTGCTAGCCACTGCCCATCATTACTAAACATAATTAAAAGACAGGCCATATCGAGGCATCCGCATAGGAGACCATATGCCAACAAGACTGACAATTCGGTCCAATTAGCGACAGTGTAATACAAGCAATAACACTCAAAAAAAATAAAGTCTTACACCGTTAAGTCAATGAAATCACTACTGGTAGTCCTTTGCGTCCAATCCTTGCTGATATTTTCATGAGGATTCTAGAATAGATACAACTGAAATATACGACTGACTAAGCAGCATTCTAGGCAATGTACGTTAACTATACATTTGATGTATGCAATAAAGTGAAAAAGCCTGTCATTTATAGAAGCATTTTAGCATACTTCAGTCAAGTATTCAGAACGGAAAGTGAATATAATAACAAATTTCTACTTCATAAACCTTGGCCTTAAACGTCGAACAGATCAAATGTATCACAGACGTATTCATTGGAAAGACCTATAGAGTGAGCTTTATCTAAATTACAACAGGTTTACCTAATCAGTTACAAAAAATGTCTTGTAAAACACACTTTTCATTCACACACTTAAAATGTGCTCTGAAGAAAAAGATGAGGAAGAACTGGCCTTTGTTGAAAACTATCTACGTGGAAACAGTTACCCACAAAATCCCTTTGAAAAGTACAGTAGGACATAAGAAAAGAGAACGAAGTGGAGAACACTTTGACAAAAAGTTTATCTTTTTACACTTGCCTCCAAAATGGATGAAATTACTACACAGATCAATCACAAACGAAGTGATACACTGAAAAATCTATCAACCACTAAGATAGTCTGAGTGCACCAGACTAACTTCACTCCACATGAGACAATCCAAAGTCGACGCGTGCCCAGCTCTTTTTACTCTCAACTGTGTCTATAAATTCACATACGAATTTCAAAGCAAATACTTTGAGTGAAAGGTGAAAAAGATTATTTTTTTGCTTATTTCTGTACACACCTAGAAGATCGCTCGCATTTTGTTCAATACTGGACATGAAGTCTACGTGTTAAAATCATTCAACGTGATCAATGAACAACTGATACCCATCCTCTTATGGTTTCTCAATTAAGGTACTCACACCTGATCTGCATATTTAGAAAGATACTGTTGTCAATTTTCATTCACCTCAGTAATTTTAATCGCATAAATGTGTAAATATAAAGTTGTAAGACCATATAAACCGTAGATATTTTAACGTTATCTTTTGACTGATTTCCAAGTCAACTCTTACTCTGTGAATGGTATTCATCTTATAACTCAATATAATGACCTTTTACTGTGATTACCCAACCATGATGTCATTTCTTCTAGTTGTAGAATGTTTGTGAAACTGCCCTCTATTTTATTGAGTATCTTCATTAGAATGTTCATTCTGTCACTGTACAAATAACTGACCTTTGAGTAGTCACAGAAGCTTCATCACTGTCAGTCAACGTAAACCCTTGTTATCTTCCAACTCAATTGGAAAATTCTTGCTGATTACTGAAAGTAAGTTGTATTGCATTTTTCCCCTGTAAATATCATATACTATAGATTGTGCAGCAGGTTGAAGAAAATCCTCGAAATACACATATGCTAATCATGCCACTATTGTTTTTATTGCTTCATTCAAATTCATGAAAGAGAAGAATTGTTCGAAGTACAAATTCTGGCAGTCAAGAATTTCTTCAGATTATTTAAAGTCTCTTAATGACTTCAGTGATTTGGTATACAGTTAAAACAACGTTTGATTGCTACAATAAAGACATGATCGGTAAAACGTGGTCAGCTTTCTAATTTTCTACTTGGTTAACTAAATAGCAGGGATCAACATGTTGTCTATGAATAAGGTAATATAAATATGCAACATACGATAAACAATATACAGTTAAGTTTATCTGCGTATAAGAGGTTATAAAATGCATCATGCTCTATAAAATTTCAAAGGCAAACACTTTTACAAGTCCAAATCCCGGTGGGAACAATATCATTCACTGAGAGGTAGGAACATACAGCTACCGAGTCCCAAATAGGACGAAATGCGCATCCTGGATTCGACTGTTATCCAGTGTCCATCATTACGATTTATAATAAATAATAATAATGATAACGATAAAGATACTTTTGGTAACAGTGACAGCAAAATGGATTATGTAACATAGAGAATGTATGTAACTCAGAAAGGAGAGGAAAACTGATGAAAATAGTAGACCAATAAAGTTTTATACAATAGGAATAGACAAGTTGTTAAAATACAACCAATAATTTTTGACGTGATTCAAACGATTCGGCAAAATAATACCGGAAACTATTCAAGCAAGAGTGAATTTGTAATTAATAAAGCGTAATGAAATTGTATTCTACCTTCTCTTCAGATATTATTTACGACTGCCTATTGCTATTATTATTATTATCAGTCCTTTGGGTTCCTAGTGGAACATAGGGCTTCACTAGCACGTCTCCAGTGACCTCTGTTCTCTGAGATCTTATGAACCTGGTTCCACGACAGCCCACAAGCTCTCATTCCTCCTCGCACGACCTCCTCCATGTCACCCTCACCATGGAGGCCCAACTCGTCGCTCCCCATGGGGATTCCACTCGAGTACCTGGCCTGACGCGTGATGTCCCCAGTCGGCCTTCTCAGTGCATGCCCAATCCATCTCCACTTCCTCCTGCATATTTGTTGGGTGATAGGTTCTTGGTTGGTTCATTCCCAGAGTTCCTTGTTGCTTATTCTCATTATTCTGGTCATCTGATCTTCAGTAGCGAGTCATTGTAGGCAGTTGTTAATGAATGTCTGTAGTTTATTGGAAATGCCTTTCGTGACGCGCCAAGTCTCTCAACCATACAGAAGCATTGACTTGACTGATGCTGGTGTTGAAAATCCGGATCTTGTTCACGCTTGTGCTGAGTGGAGAAGATCTCCACACTGGTTTCAGGCTAATGAACGCCTGTCTTGCTATCTATCCGATCCTGGTTGATTTGACACCTTCGTCTGTCCCGCCTGTAGTTGAAACAGTGCTTCCTTGATAGGTGAAGGAGGTTACTTCCTTTGAGTTTCTCCCGTTCATGGTGATCGGAGTTTGTTGTTGTTGTTGGAGTTGTTGGTGCGGTATTTTCATCACTTCTGTCTTCTCTATATTCACTTGAAGTCCCGTCTTCGCTGAGGAGCGTGATTCTTCACCAGTTCTTGCAAACATTTAGGTCGCCGTTCTTCGGGAGTTTGACAAAGTAGCCTATCTTCCAATCAGTTCGCAGGTACCTTCTCTTCCTTCCACACCTTCTGCAATAGTGGTGTTGTGTGAGCATGTCTGCTGTTGTCTCTGCATCTGTTCTCAGTGCTTCTGGTGGGATCCCGTCTAGTCCTGCTGCTTTCCCACATTTCAGTAGCTTTATGGTGTTCAGGACTTCCATTTTGTTGGAGGATTTATGTTCACTTGCAGTTCTGTGGCTGGGTTGTAGGTGGTATTTCTGGATGAGGTGCAGGTGGTGGTGGTCGATTCAAGAGCTTTTTGAAGTGGTCGGCTCATCGTTCCCTTTCTTTCTGTTCTTTGGTAATTAGATTTCCTTCATCATTTATTGGTTTCGTCTGCCTTGATCTCTTCCCTCCCAGATACTAACCTGGTTATTTGATACAATGTTGACAGGTCTCTCTTACCTGCAGCCGCTTAACTTACCAGTGTTTCGTAGATATGTCTTTTGTCTTTCTGTGCACTCTTCTTCACTTCTTTATCCAGTGTTTTATACATTGTGCTCAGTTCCTCTCCTTGTTGCGCATCCTTGCACTGGTTTGTCTTCTACTTCACCATCCTCCTCTCCATCCTCGATCAGCTTCCATGTGGAGATCCGTCGAGATCCATTCCAGTCCTCGTCTTCTTTCTCCTTCCTTCCTAATACAGTTATGCAGGTTTCTTTCCACATAGCTTTCAAAGACTTCCAGTGTTCTTCCACACAGGTTTCCTCAGCGATGTTCCTCGATATCTCCCATTGTGTCTTGATGACTGACGTGAAGATTTCCTTTGTAGTTTCATCCTTCAGTTTCCGAGTGTTGTACTTGAACTGTGGTCTATCACCAACTTCCTTGAAGGCTTTCAACTTGACTTTGAAGGTTCCTTGCACTAGACAGTGAGTGGTCTGAGCCCACATCTGCTCCTCTCCTTGACATTGTGTCAAGTAGACTGCGTCTCCATTTTCTTGAGATTGAAATAAAGTCGATCTGATTTTTAGTGTAGAATGTTCATCTGGTGAAATCCATGTCTCTTTGTGGATATCCTTGTGCTTGAACACACTGCCTCCAATCACCAAATCGTTGAATGCGCAGAATTCTGCAAACAAATCTCCATGGTTGTCATGCTAGTCATTAATGTTCGTCATATTTGTGGGATGTCTAACCCATCTCTTTTCTCTTCACCGAAGAAAGGTATGAACAGATGTGAAAAGCTTCTGCAATGGCCCGATCTTTGTGAGAAATAAAACACTTTTTCAGGACTTTTGTCTTTTCGAATAATGTTTCATGACCTGGATATAAGGCATGAGCTTCGATGGTAGAGCCCTTTTCAAGTTTCCTAGATCATAGGAATTTTTTGGTGATTTCTTGCAACTTCGATCATGTTCAGTTAGACGTGTTATTACTTGACTTGATGTCTCTCCGATGTATGTGACATCGTATTCACTACAGTCTACCTTATAAACACAGTTCTGTTGTTTCAAATGGGGAATCAGATGTTTTGATTTCCACAGGTGTGAATGGAATGTGTTCATCACCTTAAAGATTACTCTGATGTTGTAACTATTAAGGATACATCTTATTTCCTCTGATGTGAATGTTTGTGCTTATCCAATCTTCATGGCTTGGTTTTTCCGTGTCTTTGTTTGATCAACTTCTCTGTATCCTTTTTAACAAATTTTCCGGATAGTTGTTTTGTTTTGAGACTTCCTGAACAAGTTGCCTATCTGCTTGCTGAGATTCCACTTTATTTGGTATCCTTTGTTGTCTAGTCAACTGATTTTTGGCAACGTTTCACTTAGTTTTCAATAAGTGAGGCGAACTGAAGTCAAGGTACTTGTCAGAATATGTATCTTTTCGATAGACATCAATAATAAGTATCTCATCGCTGTTTTGCATTGCCTTGAAGTTTAGGAAAGCTAGCGTTCTGAATTCTGTATCTAGTTTGTACATGAATTTTATGGGGTTGAAACGACTGTTTAGATATTGGAAAAGATTTTATAGACCTTGTTTTATGGTTATGACGGTGTCGCCAAAGTATCTCCACAACATGCTTTGTTTTAAATCTTGTTGGCTAAATACGACTGATTCTACTTTATGTATGTATAGATTAGCAATAATAGGTGAGATAGGTGAACCTATTGCTACCCCACTGGTTTGACAATAAAGGTTCTCTTGGGAAATAGAAAAGGTCCAGGTCAAACATAATATCAGTGCATCACAGATTTCACTGATAGAAATATTGCATCTAAGCGATAGGGAAGTATCCGACAACGTCAAAGCTAACCGTTGTTTCATCATCTTCAATGATTGTTTATAATGATTTATGCTTAAAGTCTAATGAATTTTTAATGACACTTACCAAGTTGTTTTGTAATAGTTTTGAGGACTTTTGTGAAGTATTTCGAAAGATTATATGTTGAAGAATTAGTAAAATCCACAAGTGAATGAATCAGAAAATTGGGTTTGTGAATTTTGAAAAGGTAATAGAAGCGTGAAGCGATATAACTTTTTATGTGTTAAATTAAACCACAAAGTATTGTCTAATTTCGATTACAGACTGTATAGTAATTTGTTAATCTTTAGTTTTACCTTGTTAACTGTAGGCTTAAAATTCTTGTTTCTATCATTTCACAAAATCCACTGAATGGAATGAAAGTGCTCTGTGACCTTTTGTTCGTAGTGTGATGTAATCATGACGACGGTTATGTTTCCTTTGTCAGCTTTCATAATACACATAATTTTATCAACTTTTTAAAGAGAGAAATACACCTTCCTCTTTTTTCGATATGTTTTCATATTTGAACGTTTTTTGATTGATTAGAAGATGTAAGGCTTTATATCTAACTTCATCTGCGATATTCTGCTGGACAAGTTTTAGTGACGGTTCAACTGACAGTGTAACTATGAGTATGGTCATTGGTGGGAGATTTAAATCAAAGTTCAGTCATTTAGTCTGTAAGGACACAATCGAATATATATAACATACTACTTTGAGATTAAATGATTTGTCACACTGCTTTATATTTCGTTTATAAAAGTTCAGATTTAGTGCACTGAATTATCTCATAGTATATTTAATATTACTAAAAATGAAGATAATATAGGCTCACATGGTAGGGAAATCTTATGAAATGAAGAGTAATTTTTTTTTAAAACCCTGAAATTTGACATTTCGTCTCATAAGTGAGGGATGTATTCCAGCTATTTGACACTAGACTTGAAAAAAATCCCTGAATGTTGTTCCCTACTAATTTACACCTTTCACTTTAGAAATGATGTAAGTCCTGTTGTCCTACCATCAATATAATTTTCCCATAAGTTTCCACCTTTATCTAACTTTATGTTGTTTTGTTTACTGAATAACGTTTGAGATGAGTCGAGGAATAAAATTTAAACAGAATCTAACTTACATGATGATCCCATCACTTCTGAACTAAGAACTGTGATCATCAGAAATGTCAATATGATTACTTCTTTGTAATTATTCATAATTATTCAACAACTAAGGTAAGATTATTAGAAGAAAATTTCATTTATACAATTTTTTTCTTTTTTTTTACAGACTATGATATTTTAAGAGAGATGAATTATTCCAACACATGTTAATGAATCCAATCAAAATTGTTCAGAAAAAAATGTTATTCATACATTTTCATAGAATTCCATATTGAACAAAGTAAATTTTGATTATACAATTAGTTTATTTACCTTATACTAATCACACTTGTAGATCATTATAAACACACCGAAAACTACATTATGAAAGAAATGAAATTTCTTATCTTATCACATGTGAAAATGATCAATAACAGGATTTAGTTTATGAAAACTGATTGAATAGTGAACACAGATAAATAGTTATCATAAATACCACTTTGTTAATGAATGAAAGTACGAATTATCGAATCAGTGAACTATCTAATAATTCCAAAAAAAGAAATATGCAAATTAGTAGCAAATTGTTTCAATCTTATGGAAAGGAATGTTTTCAGTCAATTAACAATGAAATTCAGCATACGTATTTCGCCTTATTCATGATTCATCAACCAGATATGTTTTGCTTAATACTTAGAGATGTTGTATCCATTTAAGACTTGAGACTTGTGTTCTAGATTCCACTACTAGTCATTATTGACTATTGGCAATACCATGGCTTCTACGAAGTAGCCCGTATGTCAGTAGTAGTCGGTTAGTTTGGTCCAGACAACGAAGAGAATTCATAACCATTACCATCAAATCAGTAAGAAACTCCAAGTTGTACGATTTCAAATGATATCTTGTGAAAGTCGCTGAAAGAAGTGATTCATCACCATACGACTGGATTGACTATTGAACTTCATTCCTTCATATATTTCAGTCAATGCTGTCACTATTTTTATTTTTTGCCTCTTGAATAAGTTGTATATTCAACTGAGTTTAAGAGAACTGTAAGCGACTGACCACCATCTTGTATCTAGTCTTCAAGTTGGTCTACGCATATAATGACGATGAATTAAGATGTAGACTTGAAAAAATTTAACCCTAACCTCAGTTAACAAATATTTTATTGGTATTATGTCTGAATAGCTAGTTAATTAGATTAGCAGCATTATGCATCGCAATGCTACTATTTTAATAACTTTATACAGCTAAAACGAAATACTAACATTATGGATTTCTCATCATCGTAACGTTAGATACACAGAACGTTAAAGATACAAAACATATCGATTCTGACAATCAGAATGATGACTCTCATAGGTCTTGGAAGAAAGCAACTTGAGAATTCATCATTTGTCAACTTATAGATCACAAAGAATGACCTTTGTTCTTGTGCATTGACTGTTTCCTACAGAATACAAGATAAACGAGCTAATGGCTTTCAAAATCGGTAACTAAACTTCATCTTTTCAAGGGCTTCTTTCATTCAAAGTACTTTATTAATTATCCAGTCTATTTGTCTAGGTGTTACTTTATGTTTCATTGTAGATATGTTTCTCAGTTTGTTCGAACCTTTTGAATATCTAACACGAATTCTTCGCATCGAAGGAATACTTAATTCTATCTTCGGTGTCTAAATTTTTTCCCCCTGAAGTATAACAAAATCATATTAAAAAAAGGGTTCGTAACTGCACTCAATAAGATTACGTTCGTAACCAGTAAACCTTTAAAACTTTATATCATTGTTCTTAGCAAACCTAAATGGTTATCATTTTCCGCAATACATCTTTCTATAACCAAGTACTAATTTACTGCCATGATTAAGGTCGAATCCTTTATATCCAGCAAACCAGATATATCACATTCGCTGTTTCTCATGATTATCTACTAGATGTTCTTTGATTTTGAAATCAACCATTCTCTAGAAGAGTTCTACCGATTATGATCTTTACAAATATGAATATCGTCAAATACTTCTGCATATCACTTCTAAATTAGCCCATGAAGTGTAAAGGTCAATAAGTCACTGTCTTGAATACACACACAGAGGCTAACGGACAGTTAATGTTTTAAAGCTATATAGCCTCGTGAAATAAAAGCAATCACAAATTTTCTTGGTGAGCGTTATCTGTTTTTCACTAACTGTTCCAGTAAGTCATATGTATCAAATAATGAACTATAGCAACATATTCTTTGTCCATCATGGTGAAAACTCTAATCAAATCAACTTTTGTTTACTAAATAGTGTTAACTGTCTATTCACAAAGACAGAAATCAGAAGATTTGGAGTGTCAGAAGAAAGGAAAACTGTTTTACACCTGAAATTTAAAGTCATAACTTTGTGAAACAAAAAACTGAACATTTTATAAGTATCTGATAAAACAGGAGGTATTTCAGTTTGATATTGGTCATGGACTGACATCAGTCGAAGAACTGCTGAAAGCCTGGTGGCACTGAAGACCTGTTTAATCTTAGTGTGGAACTCTTCAGCTGTATTCATCCATGACCATTGAATTTTGATGCACTGTCCCAATAGTAACGTCCTAGGTTTTAATATGATGAAGAATGCGCTCTTTGAAGTGGATGGTTTAGTCTTGAGGCTTTCGTTGTCATCATAGACAAAATTGTCAGTAATAAATTCAGAAAGAATTGAGCCACAGAGTTTCTTTCATACTTTATTTAGTAGCTTGTTTGTGACTGATTGTTTCAGCCAAGGCCTTGTCATTATCTCCAGACTTATTTTGATTGGTTGTCCTGATGACCTGAAATTTGACCTCCTTTTTGTTTCTGATTGGCTGATAGATTATGTTAGCTTCAATGCGTCTGTAAGTTGCTGAATAACCTGAATACTATTAAACCAGTGACTGGATTTAAATCCGCCCCTAAACAAAGTAATTAATACCAAGACAACAGAAGGAAGTATGGAAATTCTTGTCTTTATGCAAAGACCTTCAACATTTCACAGGTCATTGGTGTTCACTGGTAATGATGAATCGTTTTGTGAAAGTCCCCTATATAGTAATAAAAAAATTAAAATGACGTCAGTCATCTCGAGGTTGTAGATACGTCTTATTCCAGAGAGCCATGAGGCTTGGAATCTAGCCAAAGAGGGACCACCTGACTTTTACCTTCATCCAACCAGCATCTGTTAAAGTAAATTAAATTGCGAAGTGAAGTTAGGAATTCACCTAGGACTAGATGAAATGAAATCGGTCACTCTTCAGTGACTACTCGGTTTAACTAATGGAATATAATCATTGCAATATATGATTTTCCAAAGTATTATTGATTATTTGATTTATCCACTGGGTACCTAGTGGAACACAGGGCTTCAGCAGTACATCGTCATTTCACTGTCTTCTATGTAGTCTTCTTAACCTGGCTTCACAGTTGCCCACAAACTTTCATTTCTTCCTCGCAGGTCCTCAGCCATGTCACCCTCGGCTCGGACGCCCAACTCATCATTTCCTATTTAGGTCCAACAGAGCAGCCCGGCCTGGTGCGTTTTGTACCAAAATGGTGTTCTCAGTTATGTCCAATCTAATCCAAACCGACTTTCTTTTGCATATTGGTTCGTTGACAGACCACAGTTCCTTATCGCTTATTCTTGTTATTATTGGCCATCTGATCTGATATGATCTTCAGTGTCAGTATCCAGTGAGCCTAGGTGGCGACAACTGTTGTTGATGTATGTCTGCACTTTGTTGGAAATACTTTTCGTGATGGGCCAAGTCATCACATCAGCCATCACATAGAAGCACTGACTTACTTGACTAACATGAGTGTTGAGAATCCGAATGTTGTTCACACTTTATGCCGAGTGCAGTGCAGTGCAGTGCCGTGCAGTAGATCTCCACACTGATTATTTCAGACTAGTGCAGGAAGGCCTGTCTTGCTGTTTTTCCGATCCTGGCTATGACATCCTCATCTGTGTCTGCGCGGCCTGTAGTTGAAAGGATGCTCCATTGCCTAGGTAGGTGGAAGAGATAACTTCCATTATATTCCTCCCGTTGATGGTGATTGGTGCTTGTTGTTGATGCAGTTGTTGGTTGGGTATCTTCATCACCTCTGTCTTTTCTACCTTCACCTGAGCGAAGTTCTTTCTTCCTCCGCTGCCTCGCCTCTTCTGCCAACTTGTTGGTTTTCACCTGTAATTTGTGTGTGAACATTTGACATAAATCATCGTCGAAATCCACACCTTCTTCTTGGGTCTTTCCATCGATCCAGCCAGCATATGACCATCTTCTCGCTCCTCAAGGTTTATTGCATAATCCAGTCGACCATAATCAGGAAGGTCATTGATGATACTTGGCGGCAACCTTGTCTTACTCCTGTTTTCACTTCAAAAGCATCATTGGGCTTTCCTTTATCAATCACTCAGCATGTCTCCTCTTCAAATAGCTGTTGGGTGTTTGCGGCACTAAAACCTTAGTGTTGAAGCAGCTACCAAATTACTTCTCGGTCGACGCTGTCAGATGCCTTTTCAAAATCGATGAGGTTAAGGCAAAGTCTTGAATGTTATTCTATGCTCTGTTCTATGATGGTGCATAGCGTAGCGTTGCAATTTGATCCGCACATGATTTGTTCTGGTGGTAATTCTGAATGCAGAGCACGGTCTAGTCTCTCCAGGATGATGCGGCTTAGTATTTCGCTTGAGGTTGATATGAGCATGATTCCTCGCAAATTCTTACAAGGGCTTAGGTCTCTTTTTTTGGGGAGTTTGACAGGGTAGCCCTTTTTCCAATCTGCAGGTACCTTACCTTCTTTCCGAACCTTCTGCAATAGTGGTGTGAGCACGTCAGCTGATGTCTCCATGTTTGTTTTCAGTAATTCTGGGAGAATTCCATCTGGTTTTACTGCCTTCCCGCCTCTCAGCAACTTTGTGGCGTTCAGGACATTGGCTTTTGTCGGAGGGCTTGTGTTCACTGATAGTTGCTGGTTTCCTGGTGGTATTTCTGGATGAGATGCAGGTGAAGGTCGATTCAAGAGTTTTCTGAAGTGGTCATTCTAATGTTTTAAAGGTTGTATTTAGTTTCTCTTTTCGTGGTTCGTCCATGCACTGCACTAAT